CACACACACACACACACACACACACACACACACACACACACACACACACCCACAACACAGCAACCATGTGGTTGTCAGCTTTTAGTGGACCAAGGCTGGTGTGCTTCTGTGTATAATGAGGCCTTTCTCACTTTACATCTGATTTGTCCCATAACCTCTCAGACTCTGCAGTAGCTGCCCACAGCACTTACAGTAACACTCTACTACACACACAGCCATGCATGTCACTACAGCTGACCATCAGCTGATCGAGTAATCTACAGTCATGTTTGACATTTGAAAAAATGTGGGCAAACTGTCATTTTTCTCTGCAGTTTCTGCCAAATGTTCTAGTTGACTGGTTTTAGGAAAATTGCATTGTGTTGTTTTACCTTCTGCAACCTGTTTCCTGGTTTCCATGGTTTTGACTGGCTTCATGTATAAGGTGTACAACAAATATTGGTTCGATTGCAATGGGATTTGTTACAGCCATCTATAGTGTTCAGAGGAGGAATCCTAATAACCTCTCCTCTGGGGCCACCAGGAGGCTGACATTTGAGTAAAATACAGCGACAACCATCGAATGGATTCACTTTAAAGTTGGTGAACACATTCCCTTCCCACTCCTGATTAATTACAATCACTTTGGTGATCTCTCTTCACTTTTCATCAAACGACATCAAGTCAAAATGAAACTTTTTAAATGTTAAATGCTGACATGCTAAACTAAGATGTTGAACATATAACATTAAAGCTGCTCAACATTAACATGTTAGCAATGTCCTGCAGCATGTTAGAATCCTCACAGAGCTGCTAGCATTAGTGTAGACTCTTATGTTCTTATTACAATGCCACATGCTGTCATGGCTTGTATTGTTTTCACCTTGTGTGTTTCATCAAAACGTGGTCCTAGACACTATCCCTAACCACCACAGAAGCCGTTTGAAGTACTTTGCCAAATGTTTATAGATCTGTCTGTTCTTCTGTGGGAATTTTATCAATGCAATAGCGTCACAACAATGCAAGATGCTGCCACGTAAAGGAAAGGTGTGTAGCTGAGAACAAAATGGAGGCAGAGTTCAAAGATGGGTATGGCGAAGATAGATGAGGTCCAAGCAAGGACGCTGGAAGAAGGGGGGAGTAGGAACTTGGCCATTGCCCCCGGCCACTTTACGCCACCTGGCCCGATTTGTAATCACGGCTGTTGTGATCCCTTCGCCAGATGGTATAGTTTAAATCTACAGAGATTTCTGTACCTCAAAATGTTTTATTCGTTGTTTTCCTGCTGCAGCTGCTTCATTTTCAACAGTTAGTCACTCTGACCTGGAAGGTTCCTAATTGAGTGTATTGATCCAGAGAAGTCAAAGCGCCATGATTTAAATTAGTTAAATAGATTTTGTCCTCCCCTTTCATAGCTCAAAAGAGTAAATCCGTTTCTTTCTTGATGAATGACTGAGTACATTTAACATTCAACACCTTTATGGCAGCAATCTGAGAGGCGACTTTGGCTAAGTGGATAGCAGGGCTGTCTTTCAATCAGAGGGTCGGTGGTTCAATCCCTGTCTCTGGCTCTGCTAGTCGCATGTCAAGACACTTAACCCCAAAATTGCTCCCGTAGCTGTGCCTACAGTGTAGAAATGGATAAAAGCGTCTGCAAAATGCTAATCCTAAATGACTGTAATGTAATGAATTAAAGTTGCTCTGGAGGCAAAGAGTGTCTACTGGTGGAGGAACTGTTAAATGAGTTGTGGTCTTTAATCAGCTGTGTTTGTCATGTCTCATAACATTTCCTCCATGTGGGAGATTCAAATAGAAATCTGTGAGTTACAGACACAGTTATGAGTTTTATGAGTGTTGAACAGTGTTGCTATGATCTCTGATCCGTTCAAAAATACTCATTGTCTCAATAAAAAGCTGTAGGCTACTATCTTAAAGTGACATTACTGTTCAATGTTTTACAATTTCAATATGCTTAT